AAACTTTCAATTTACACAATACATAATCAGTTCCTACAACCATAATAAAAAGGCAGTTTTTCTGGCGAAACTCTCGACAGGTTAGCAATAGTTTCTCACGATCACCAAACCCGAGACACAAACGATAATACAAAGTGTATAAATACCATAACAAGCACAGTTTCTTACCTTTGAAATTGACGAGACACAATTTTGTCCATAGAAGCGTTGCGCAAATAAAGATACAATTCCGGGATACAATATCCTCACAAAATTGACTGATTTCCACCGAGACGAGAATTGCGTAAGCGTCATCAAAACTCGGATTAAACTCGGGTAATTTCGGGAAAAGTCGGATTTTGAAGGAAAAACACAGTGAAACTTTGAAGAATCGAAAAAATAACTTGATGTGCACCATAGCACCATCAATTTCTGTCTCTGTACCAACTCTGAACTGAATTGGATCACACATGTGTGAGAAAAAGCTGGTAACATGAAAATGTGCACACACATTGCAGACACGACCCAAATTAATACCCCCTGCCCGGATCGCAGATCCGGCGGGGGCTAAAAATACAGTGATCCCGCATGGGTTGGTGGAGTCTGCAATAAGTCTGCACCAACAAACTGTGCGATTCAAACTGAAGGAAGTATACAAGGTTTACATGTATCATACATGTATGCACTATGTATTTATTGTAATTGTAAGACAACTCTAACTGTTCCTACATAAAGCTATGCATATAAGCTTTTTTCAGACATACCTTACTATTCCTAAGTAAAGCCCTCGCCATGCATATAAGTTGTCTTTCTCCTACTGAGAAGTTTTCACCATTCTCGATGACTGGACTTTCGAGTTGATTATCCAAATTACTAATTGTTGACTTCATATAGGTCTTCTCCAAAGATTCCCATAATTCTTGATCCGTGTATTGATTTAATGGATCTAAATTATAACTGGGATAAAAAGATTTTTAACAAGTCATGATGTGATACAATTCCTTATGTGCGAAAGTTTTCAAAAATAAAATGAATCGGGTATCTGATTTGAAAAAATAAAATGACATACAAGGTCTCATTATAGACAATTTATGTACTAAGTTTGAACAAAAGCTTTTCATGCAAAATTGAGATTCAGTTTTAGAATAGCAGAAAGAGTTTTTAGCACTAAAATAGTTGCCATTCGGCCTTCTTCAATTTGGATTTCAGGTTGCCTCTTAAAAACACAAAAAAATAGAATATGTATGTACTTGTATATGTGACCATTCCATTATTGTAAACACTCATTCACTGATCATCAGAGGTTATGAGAAGGTAATGTGTTGTGGCTTCACAAAATTATGACTGGTTTTAAATAAATACTTACAGAAACGTGTGCCTGTGCTGACATAATCCAAGACAACTATAATACAGTCTGAGCATAACTTAACATTTAGCTAACTCATAGCTGGCTTAAAACTAGCTTAGCTTGTTTTTAAATCCATCATACATGTAAACTGCATAAAATTTTTTCATACCAGAATAAGTTGAAAAAAATGCATGATGACAATGATATCAAATTGTAAGATTTTATGAAGAGGCAAAACCAGATTAGAGTTAGAATGAAGAATGAAGATCATATTTATGTCATAATGTCATATATGCTCTGAATAAAAGTACTTTTTATTATACATAACTGATGAATAAATTTGTATGCAATGTTGCCCCACCCACCTATTAAATCTGAGGCTATCCTGACCTAAGTTTGCATGTAAAATGGCCCTGTCTACCTATTAAATCTGAGCCTATCCTGACCTAAGTTTGCATGTAAAATGGCCCTGTCTACCTATTAAATCTGAGGCTATCCTGACCTAAGTTTGCATGTAAAATGGCCGTGCCCACCTATTAAATATAAGCCTATCCTGACCTAAGTTTGCATGTAAAATGGCCCTGTCTACCTATTAAATCTGGGGCTATCCTGACCTAAGTTTGCATGTAAAATGGCCCTGTCCATCTATTAAATCTGAGGCTATCCTGACCTAAGTTTGCATGTAAAATGGCCCTGTCCACCTATTTATTTGAGGCTATCCTGACCTAAGTTTGCATGTAAAATGGCCCTGTCTACCTATTAAATCTGAGGCTATCCTGACCTAAGTTTGCATGTAAAATGGCCCTGTCTACCTATTAAATCTGAGGCTATCCTGACCTAAGTTTGCATGTAAAATGGCCCTGTCTACCTATTAAATCTGAGGCTATCCTGATCTAAGTTTGCATGTAAAATGGCCCTGTCTACCTATTAAATCTGAGGCTATCCTTATCTAAGTTTGCATGTAAAATGGCCCTGTCTACCTATTAAATCTGAGGCTATCCTGACCTAAGTTTGCATGTAAAATGGCCCTGTCTACCTATTAAATCTGAGGCTATCCTGACCTAAGTTTGCATGTAAAATGGCCCTGTCTACCTATTAAATCTGAGGCTATCCTGATCTAAGTTTGCATGTAAAATGGTGAAAATAATAATAAGCAGTTTGTGGCTGTAAACTCATGAATTATTTGTATATCCCAGTGTCATCATGACAAGTGATTTAAACTTACCGTATAGTACCTATAAAGAGTACAGGGTCTTGTGGAATAATGGATAGTTTAGAACGTAGATCATACAGTCCAATTTCACTGATATCCACATCATCTATTTTTATTGTGCCATGTGCAGCTTCTACCAATCTAAACAAACCCACACCCAGAGACGATTTACCTGTTAAAACAAAACACTGAATTTATTGAATCTATGTTTGTACTATAAAACCATGTACTACATTGCAGTACAAAGTCTATCTCATTTATTCATATATATTTAAAGACCTCAGACCTTAATCCAGGGATAAACTAATTGCCACAATTCAGAAAACTCACCAGATCCTGTTCTACCCACAATTCCAATCTTCTCTTTTGGATTTATATTAAAAGTTATTCCTTTCAGAACATTTGGCAAACCATCTCTATACTTAAGCTTGTAGTCTTGGTAAGAAACACTGCCCTCTTGTGGCCAGTCAGGGGGAGGCTCATAACCCTTGACTTTCATGGGGGCTTCTGATTCCAAGTTCTGTAGAATAAAATGCAAATTATACAGCCATGAATATATAATTAAATCGTTTTTATGCAGTTTTGACAGATACAGATAATGATACGGCCACTGTTTAATACATGTCTTTATATGTATTAAACTAAATTACATATTAATGACAATATTATAAAATTAATTAATCACAAAATACCAATAATATTAATTCATTGAATGAACTCACTTTGTAATAATAATTCATCCGTTCCACACTGGTGAATCTGGCCTCTGCTCGAGCACCCATTGTTACTGCTAAATTGAGAGCATTAGAAGTCTGCAATCAAAGAACTTTTTCAATTAGCATAACGTTACATCTGAACAGTCTTTTTATTCTGCCCTGTAGTATACTATAAAAACATTTATTTTCACTGACATTTAATTTTGCTATTTTAATGTTTTGAGCATACTCACTGGATTTTAATTTCACGAATTTGTCAGGGGAAACAATGAATTTTATTGCTATTTTACATGTTGATTTAATTAGCGGATTTTACTCATCAGCGAAAATAGCAAAATTAAAACCCAGTGAGTTAGTAATGCATTTACAGCACTCAATTACATATATTCAATTTATTGTTTAAAAATTGTTACATAATAATAATATTTTTTTTTTAACATAAGTCATCAGCATTTGTTATTTTCATCCAATATATGGAATATTTTTTGGTATGTCGATATTGAAGTATTATTGATAAAAATTAATATTAATTACTGGAATTTCCTGATAAATCATGACACCCATCTTTTATCAACAGTATATTTATCCCACCATATACTAATGAACAACACTTGAGAAAAGCCAGTGATTTAATATAATCAAAATAAATCTAGTGAAAAGATGGTGACAAATTGTACATGCTTGTGTTTACCTGTATGGTACAAGAGAGTGCTAATCCAGCTACAGCTGCCGATATTTCACCATGACCAAGAACAGCGAAAAGAGCAGTAATTATAGTAACAAACAAGGTAATAAAATCCAAGCGTGATTGAACCCATCTACTACACATTATACATAGTAAAAATGGTACTGAGTTGGCGTCCACTTTGTCACTGAAACTGAGGAAGACAAAATAACACCAAATAAAATTATAGAGGATTCATTTTTGTGAAAGTTGAATGATGTAAACAACAAACAATGAATAATAATGTCTAGCTTTGAATGACAACTAAAAACACAATCAAGTTTAAAAATTATGTTGACTAATAATTGTGATATCCAAGATGCACTATACACAGTGATGGTATTGACTGATGTGTAATGCAAGTCTAAGCACTCTTCTATTGACTGAGTGCATGATATTCCTGTGACAACTTTATTATTATACATCTTTATACCTGTTTATAGTAATATAGTGAAATGCAAGCAAAAATTCCTCACAAAGTACTCATGCCTGTGCGATTATTTGCATTCAGTTACGTACTACGTTGGTGCTGCATACCATGCAAAGTGATTCACTTTTTCAAAATGACAAAGACATTCAAGCGAGTTCATAACACTTTCAAATGTTATAGATAAATGAATTTTATTGTGTTGGCTGCCAGAAGTACATGTACATTAAAAGTGCATTACTTGTAAATTTTATCTAGTGTTCCTACCTTTGGATAAAATTCTGTGACCTTTCATATGCATGTATTGTTGACAGTCCTTGAGCAGTGGAGGCCAGCATTGACACCCACGGTGAACGACTAATGTTGTCAAGTCTTTTGCATTCTCGAACACCGGCTCGAAAAAACATCAAACACAGCAAGAATAAGATAAACAGTGGCACACAAGCAACTAAAAACCATGGAAACACTATCATGATGACTACCAAGCCAGCTATTAACACAAATAGATTCTGTAGAGACAGGTCCATGATTAGTGGTAACCAGACATCAACTAGGATAAAAACAAATGATTGTTAAATGACATTTTCTTTTTTTTGTATTTGAGGAGTGAAAATTATGTCTCGTCGTTGTAACACTCAACCAAGATTCGGTTCCTGAAAGTTAATTTTTTTTAAATGGCCACCATTCAGCCATTTTTAATCAGATCACCAAACAAACAAGCCATGCATGGCACAGTCCCCGTTAGTTATCGAATTTAAGATATATAGTTTTGTTTATAGTTATATAGCTGGAATATAAACATGTCAGGAATATGATTATGATGATTGTTTAACATTTAAATGATTGATATTTGTATCTGATCGTCAAACGAGTATTGAGAGATATTGCTCTGGAACAGCATTAATTAAAACAAATTCAGCCATTTTGAATACATGTATAATGAATATACATAAAATTTTAACATAGTCAGTCAAAGCATGTCAGAGATATGGCTCTAAAAGCCCATTCATTGAACAAAATGGCCACTAGTCAGCTATTCTGAATCCAATCTAAAAAATAACGTGCATCAGGAACACGTAATGTCTAACGTATGTACCGAGTTTGAACAAAATCCATCCATAAATGCCAGAAATGCTTGATATTTGATGATTGTTTAGCACAAAAATGGCCACCATTTGGCCATTTTTAATTGGATCATCAAACCAATATATCTGTATATCTATGACATGATGCATAATGAATATTTCAAATTTGAACATAATCAGTCACAGCAAGTCAGAGATATGGCACTAGAAAATGACCACCAGTCGGTCATTTTGAATCTCATCTGAAAACACAATGATGTGCATCAAGGTCCTATAATTTCCAACGTATATACCAAGTTTGAACAAAATCCATCTGTAAACAGCTGAGAAATGCTCGATTTTGATGATTTTTAGAACAAAAATGGCCGCCATTCAGCCATCTTGTATCAGATCGTGAAACAAATTGATGTGCATATGTATAATATCATGTATGATGTATGTGTGAAGTTTGATTGTGATTGGTCCAGGCATTTCTAAGATACAGGTCCGGATGCACACAGTTTGAATGAAATTCATCCATACTTGACTGAGATCAAGTGCTTTAATAGCAGAAATGCTTCATTTTAATGAATTTTTAACATTAAAACTGTCATTCTGCCATCTTGATTCTGATCATTACATGTACATACTGTATGTGTGACATGTGGTGTATAAGATTATTGAAATATAACATACAACAAGTCTTGAAGTAATGTTCAAAAACTAACTACTCTATTCTGTAATGGTACACAAGCAACTACATTGTAAACATAGTACAAATTGAAATTCAAAAGCAAGGTTTTACTCTGGAAAAAGTCAGAAAGCCAGAAAATATTGACTGTGGCAGGAAGGGGCGTACAAGGCTACAAATCAAAATCTTTTTTTCAATTTTACTCGTAGATGATTTTTTATTTATGTTGTTTATTTTCCAAATGTTCATTTCAAAGCAACAGAAACCAAAAACATAGGTTGGCATTTCACAGGCTATTCGGCCATCTTGAATCAAATCATGGTACAAAAGTATGAGCATGCAGATATGTCTGATAAGATGTAGGATGTTTGTGTGAAGTTTGAACTGTATGTATGAGTAATGGCTGGATATGGATGCACACACAGAGGTCAATTCAAACTGGTTCTAAAAATGGTCATCATGCAGTCAGCAATTTTGAAATTGATCAAAACAAAAATCTGAATGAAATCCATCCATACACATCCAAAATCCAGTTATGGAATAGCAGAAATACTTGATTTTGATGAATTTTTAGCACATGCATATTCCAAGATGTAAGATGTATGTGTAGAGTTTTAATTTGACCAGTCCAGGTATGTCCGAGATACAGATGGGGATGCACATACACAATGGTGGTGGTCAATCCATAAGTTCCCATAAGGTTTTTGAACCTTGTCTGATCAAAAATTAACAAATAGCTGACTATCACATATGTTGGATCATATGCAACAAATTAACCACACATAATTTGAATTGATTTTGTCAAAGCGCTTCCATAAAATGAAGTCAGACACATTATGATGCATTCCCGAATCAGATACACAGATTTAACCACATACACAGCACCCTCTAGAAACAATATCACAAATTGTATTATTCCATCGGAGATGAATTTCAGAATGAAAGCCATTCGCCCTGGAAGCCATCACACCACATTCAAGTCAGCTAGAGAAACCCTACGTCTTAAATCTTGGCTTATATAAGAAAAATATAGATCCCATTAAATGCATTCAATGTATTATATATTTAGAATATCACAAGTAGTTTGGCACTGAATGTTCAAATTGTATAATTATTCATTTTAAGATAGCAGGGAAATTGTCACGTAGTACAATGAGATTAAATGTCAAACTGATCATGGAATTGTATACCGACAGTATTGATTTGCTAAGGCATTGGTCAATTTGATTTCAACAATAATTTAAAATTGTATGAAAGGGAGAAAAAAAATTATTATACAAAAAAATTTCTGAAATTCAGTGTATTGAGTGCAGATAGATAAAAAGACTTGGGTCTATAATTTACCCCAGTATGATGATATGTAATGCACAGTGTTATATGCAAATGTGTTCTTGAACACAGCATATTATCAAATAATCAGTATCCTGTGATTCTATTGATAAACAAGCATACATTGCATGATTTAAATATGAATGTCAGCACATGGTTTCATTTCATGCACATCTAACATTTAGTTTCACTTACTTTCATCCATGTCTTTTGAAAACCTATTCATTATCCTTCCTAATGGTGTAGTATCAAAAAAACTCATTGGACTTCGAATGATTTTGCTGAAAACTTTGTCATGAAGATTTGAAGAAGAGCGAAGACACACCTACAAACCACAGCAGTCAGTAAAAAATAATTACACATATGTATGTTCAGAAACAATTTTACAAGTTCAAGCTATATGTGTTATTGGAAATCCTTGACGTATGAAGTAATACTGGTATGTACCACACACCAAATCCAACAGTTATGGTATTTGAAAGATACTACAAGGTCAAAAACTTCATACATATATCAAGTTTTCAAATTTTATGACCAACGCTTTGCAGATGATCATGTAACACATACACAATCATGCAAGTTAATCTAGAAACTCCTGTTTCATGGTTGTATTTTGTAGGCAGTTCAAAATTGTTAATTATTCATTTGCATACTTTCATTTGCATAAGCTTCGGTTGTTTGTTTCATTTCTCCACTGCGCATGATTCTTGTAGCCAATTCGCTTCATTCTGTTTACATGCACTGTTTACATCGCACGCTGTTCGTGCCCAATCATTTCTGTTCAGGTTATTTTCATTTCGCTTGAGTGGGGTTCGTTCTTTGCCATTGAATAATTCTATACACACTATCACAATCTAATAACATGGCATTGTTCAAGGAGACGTTGAAAATATAAACCACGAGGAAAAGTCTGATCATACATTAATTACACAATTACCGCATACACAAAAAATTCATTTAAGTTATGGCACTGAAAATAAATTTAATCCACAATTAACGGTATTAAGCTCTTACCGTGACAAAGACAATAGATCGCATAAAACTGAATATCAGGATACCAATTATAGATAAACCATACACCATAATGTATATATCATAATCAGGATTATCTAAAATACTTGTACTTATAACTGTTTCATTGCCCACTAATACTGTTGTATTCTGTTGGCAATAAAGAGGAAAATAAAATTACCAGATAGAATTAACTGTTTCTCTTGTTTTTCTCTAAATATAAAAAAACAAGAAAACAATTGAGTCAATAACATTGGATTCATCAACAATGTAGCATATAACGAAAATATCATGTCACAAAACACAGACACACATGCACGCTGAAAATATATTTCGAGCTGTTACATGAAAATCCCACTAAATTATTACTACAGGCAAATTAACAAATATATATAATGAGGTATAATAAAAATACAGCAAACTATGAAATATGGCAGAATAGTATCACATGAACCTTCACTACATGTATGTGGTTGGTTGATATTGTTATTTATTTACTTATTGACTCTTACACAATCCCCAGAGGGAAAGGAAATGGTCACAAGGTACAAGAATATATGCTAGCTAACAAAATACAATCACTAAATATTGTTGATATTGTAATGAAAGATGACATGAGTGAAAATCAAATGTTTCGCCGGCACAACATAAGTGGTGGTGAGCTGATGAAATACTATTGTCAAGCAAGATGCTACACAGAAGGGAACTCAACTGAATTGTGTTAAATTGATCACAAGAGACAGTGTTTTCTCAGCATATCAACTGATTACTCAAGTGTTTTACTCGACTGAGTGGCTGAGCTGACTCTGAACCATGAATAGTGAACCAGATGAGTATCGCGCCTAATGAATTTTTGGTATCACGTATTTTGATTAGAATCGGCATGTGATATTGAATAATGATTGGCAGCTTAAGGTAGCAGAATAGTTTTTTGAGCACTTTTCACATTTTTCTTTTGAAAATCACATGAATAGCTCCATAAGGCATGCTACATACATTGGTGTTTTTATTTTATTGAAAAAAAAATATCTTGTACAAGTAAACTGATTTTTTTCTTGTGTGCAAACAAATGGCCAAGTTTTTGTTTATCCAGTCACAGTTCCTCTATGATAGAGGGACTGTGATCCAGTGTACACCAAACTAGTGCATCTCATTAATATGCATGGTTTACAAACATAACTGAACTGAGCGTAAATAGTTTTAAGTTGGGCCACTTTCTTTATTTGCTATTTACAAACAACTGATAAGATATCTGTTTGTAGTTTACACACAGCTGATAAGACGTGTGCACTGCTGCCTTTCTAGACAGGAAGTACAGCAAAGACAAAACAAGTCATTGTCAATGACACGTCCCATATACATTCAAAGCAGATCATGACCGAAATGCACCTGCATATGTACAACACATTGTTCTAAATCTGAACAAAATCCATCCATGCATGACTGAGATCAGGTTCCGGAATTGTGAAAATACGCGATTTTGATGCATTTTCAGCCTTAAAATGGCCATCATTCAGCTATTGTTAAGCGGATCATGAAACAAATGCACATATCTATTTGTGACATGATGTACCATGTGTGTGTGAAGTTTGAACTTGATCAATCCAGACATGTCTTGGATACGAATCCAGAACTGAATTTATTAAAACAAAATGGCCGCCAGTCGGCCATTTCGAACTTGATCCGGAAAAAAAATGACATGCATCAAGGTCCTATTATGTTTAATGTATGTACCAAATTTGAACAAAATCCGTCCATGCATAACTGAGATCCGGGTTCGGAATGGTGAAAATGTGCGATTTCAATGCATTTTCGACCTTAAAGAGGCCGCCATTTGGCTATCGTTAATGAAATCATGAAACAAATACACATACATATTTGTGACATGATGTACCTTGTGTGTGTGAAGTTTGAACTTGATCAATCCAGACATGTCTCAGATACGAATCTAGAACTGAATTCTTTAAAACAAAATGGCCGCCAGTCGGCCATTTCGAACTTGATCCGGGGAAAAAAAATAACGCGCATCAAGGTCCTATTATGTTTAATGTATGTACCAAATTTGACTGAAATCCGTCCATGCATAACTGAGATCCGGGTCCGGAATGGTGAAAATGTGTGATTTTGATTCGCTATTCGGCTATTGATAATCGGATCATGAAAAAAATGCATGTGCATATGTCCCATATAATGTGTGATGTATGAGTAAAGTTTGAACTTAATCGGTCCATGCATGTTCGAGATACAGGTGATCACGGACGCACGCACGCACGCACGCACGCACGCACACACACAGGGCAAAACACAAGTCCCCGTTTTCGGACTACATCCGAACGGGGACTAACAATCGCTTTTGAAACAACAAATTTTGAATAAACAAAAAAGTACATGAATGTACCACTTCAATGTAATTATATGTTAACAGAATAAAAACTAACAATAAATTTCTGTAATAATTTTTCTTGGCTTTGTCATTGAAAGGTGTCTGACCACGGGGTTAATGCAGTTACATTGGAAGGGGGCTCCCTT